GACTTCAAAACATTGTCAATATTTGCCGGAATTAGTGATTTGAGGAAAGCTTAATCTGCGTAAGCCTTTAGCTGCTTGTTTGTCAAGTGGATGATCAGAGACGGTTCACAGTTGGTGCTGAAGAGTCTTTCAAAGCTGTCAGGCTTCTTTTTTTTTCTCGTTTTAGTAAACTCGACTCGCATGCAACAAAGCACCACCCACCCCAGTGGATGTTTGAGTCTACCATTTAGCTTCAAACGGATGACGTTCTGACAAGTGATGACTTGTGATTGTTGGTTTTAGCTCGCGCACCTGGGGTTCCCTCAGCAGAGGCGTGGAGAGGCAGACGGTGTTTAGACCAGCTGATGTTGAGCTGCTTAGCTGCGTCTGGTCCCTGTTCCTGTGTTTAGTCACTCTCTTCCCTCTTGAGTAAACATACTCTGACCATCACTCTGCATCCTTTTGCTTTTTTTTTCTTGGAGATAAGGGTTTGCCATATTTATTAAATCAATCGTTTTCCTTCAGAGAACTTTACATCCTCAGAAATTATGCCTCGATACAAACCTGTTTAGTCTTTGTGAGCTTCAGCACAAACATAGGAAGTGGCTACACGCAGCCTGTTATCAATTTAGACCTGGTGGTTTGCAGCGGATCACGTTCCATCTTTGATAGCTCCAAGGATCTGGCGACTGAACAAGCCCCTCCTTCGCTTCGCACTTTGGTCCCGTCTGTTTTCCGTCCTCATCATCTGGCAGATAATCGTCCCTACAATTATGGGCTTTGTGTGTGCGTTCGTGTTCGTAATTGAAAACAGCAGCCGCCCGTACATAACTTCCGGCTCGGTGCCCTCACAGCTCTGTATTTATTAACTCGGATGTACAGGTTGAGTTGGTGCGGATTTAAAGGGGGATGTCTCTTTTTAGTTTAGTTTTGTATATTTAAAAAAGTTAGTCTTATTTAGATTTAACTAAAAAAGGTCTGAACAGTAATTCCTGTTAATTAAATATGCAAGTTTGTAAATTATTCTTGCAACCAGAATCAGTATTTTTATTTATTTATTTTACCTGTTAAGATTTTTTTGTACAATTTTGAAAACTACTTCGACATATGTGGTTCTGTTTAAAAACAATAATAAATAAATTCTTCTCAAATACAGGTACATCTAAAAAAATTAGAATACCTTGAGAAGCTGTCATTTCAGAAAGCGAAACTCATTTATTATACAGATTCATTACATATAGAGTGAAATATTTTAACCCTTTGTTTCTTCTCATTTGAATGGTTATGGCTTACAGATGATGAAAAAACAAAATTCATTGTTTCAGAAAGTTTGAATATTGTGAAGAAGTTCTGTAGTGTAAACTCCTGGTGTCGCACCTTAATCAGCTGATTAACTCCTGGACACGAGCTACAAAACGTCTCGTTTCTCGAGTCCAGCCACTCCTGAACCAGAGACATCAGAAGCGTCTTACCTGCTGAGGAAGAGAAGAACTGGAATGTCTCTCAGAGGTCCAACATTTTTATTTTGTTTGGAAATCAAGGTCTCAGAGTCTGGAGGAAGAGTGGAGAGGTCAGAGGTTAAAGGTTAGGTGGAGGTTAGAGAAGGTGAGCCTGTAATCAGTAGATCGCTGGTTCAACTCCCGGTACTGACAACATCAAAATGTGGGTGAGAAAGGTAAACACCCACACCTGCCTCCACCCTCATTTACCCCACTCTGGGCCCTTGAGCAAGGCACTTAACCCCCACCATCTGCCCCCCGGGCGCCCTAGATAGCAGCTCTCTGCTCCACACAGAGGCTGTGGTGGCTCGGTGGTCTGTGGTTGTGTCAGGAAGAACATCTGACGTAACAATAATTACCAAGTCTTCGTGGGAGTTAGTTTACTGTGGCAACACCTGAAGGGAGCAGCTGAAATAAATAAATAAATTAATTAAATTAAATATTTCCTCCTAGAAATACACTGAGATCTTTTCAATTATTAAAAAAAAACATTGTTCTCTGAAATCGACTTCATCATATTTGCTAAATTTAGTCTTTTAATGCTTCTTTTAACATTTAGCTACTGTCTTCTGTTTTTAGCTTTCAACTACTCTCTTGCACTTTTTAGGTTTTAGGTGCGTTTTTGCTATTTTCATGTTTTAGCTATGGTTTTGCTAATTTTACCCGTTACCTAATGCTTTCATAAATTTAACTACTGGCAGCAATTTTGTTCATTTTAGTTTTTATGGTTTTGATGATTTTAGTTTACCAAGTTGAGCTGTTGGCAACAAATATGTTAATTTTATCTTTTACCTACTGTTTAGCTTGTATACATGTGCTCGTGCTGTGTTTTCTATAATGTCTTTAGTTTAAAACAAAGAAAAGATTAAATGTAAGTTGTGTGGGGTCATTTTGGATTTGAACACAGATATGACAGTTTTGTTCATACATGTGACAAAGTGAGGCTTCAAAGCTCTTGATTATTTTTGCAAACAATCTATTTTTTTAATAATTCAAAAGCGTTTAAGGACAACGGGAAGAATTGTGTTTATTTACCTGTGCATATGTCGGTGTAAATGATGGCTCCCGGGGCAGAGGTGCCCTGAGTTTGTTGCTAAATGTCAGAGTCGTTGACCCTCACCAGTTAATTACACAGTCAACTTATCTTGACTTAAAGCAGCTACGGACCTGTTGACTCTGAGACGTTACAGCGTTTAGACCCTACCCGCGGCTGTGCACGCGCATGCACACAACACAAGTGGCCCAATTTTTTTTATTACCTTCGCTGTAGCGCTAGGCAGTGTTGGGCGAAAATAACGACATGGCCTGAGAGGACCGCTGATGTGAACCAGATGAGGAGCAAGAATCTGAAATCCGGGCTCAGAGCCCGACATTTACATCGACAACAAACACGACGCAGGCGTCCAAACCATGACGGTCCTGAAAATGTGCTTGTTCGGAGCAGGTGTGTTACAAGTGCACTCACTTTTTCCTCGTGCTTTATGTCATTTGGAACAAAGTGAATCTGTGTAACGTGAGCAGAGTTTCAGGGATCTGTCGGAGGCCCGGCTCAGTTCTGCTCTGCTTTGCTTTCGCCTGGCTGCGAAGTGCGTTGCTTTCTCATGCGTTCCTCTGACCTCCTGACGCATTTCCTGACCCAGGAAATAGAATTAACACCTCCGTCTTGGCCTTTGGGTTCCACGAGCCGCATACTCAGCTGGTGGAACGCAGCTACACCAAAAGAGGAAAAACAAATTTTTCACGTTCAGCTTTATGTCTGTACGCTGAGGGTCTGGTTGCAACTTGAACACTGACTTCAAATAAATTAGAGGCAAATATTTGCTCAATTTTCAGTTTTTTTGTGACCATTAAAATATATATTTCAGTCAGTATTAGTCTGAGTGTTACAGCAGCTACTGTTCAGTGACTGCTCAGATGGATCCAATATTTTTGGTCTAAAATCAAAACAGAGGATTTGTTGGACTTCCAAAACTTCAAGTTAATATAAAACTTCTTAAAGAAGCCTTAAATGTTCTGTTTATGATTTCTCTTGTAGGCTAAATCTTAACTTTAAACAACTTGAATTTAGGTTAATAAAGTATCTTATTCATTAGATGTCTACACGACTTATTTTGCGGGCATTTATAATAAAAAAGCAACTTTGATTTATTTGTGTCATTAAACAAAAGGGATGCATCCCCAGTGTGAAGCACTTTATCTGGTTTCCTCATTAGTGGGGGGCTTTTATCGAAAGGTGCGTTTGCACACATCCAAAGATTAGCCAGTTCCTGTGTTTAAGCACCCCATATGTTTGCATTTTAGTCACACATTGATGATCTCATGGGAGCACTTTGAAGCGAACTCCTCTGGAGCAGATCATAAAACGAGGCCATAAGTAGTTTTTCACATAGTTGGATCCCAGAACGCTCCAACCACCGTCAGCCTCCACCTCACACCTCCAGCCGGTTCACTCTCAGATGAGCAGTCAGCTCAGAGATCTGTTACAATCATGTCTTTTTTATTTTTCTTATATACTACAGTTAATACTGCTGTTAAATGATTTTGTAAGAAAATAAATCTGGTACAAGCAGAGAAAACTGTAACACAATCAGTCGGAGCTTTATACTGTTTACAACGTAGGAATGATTTTAGGTCTATTTATTTAAGAAGTTAACTTTGGTTTTTAAATCGTGCTTTGCATTTGACTCATTTGAGGTCAACAAGTTAAATTGTTTTCACAGTGTCCAAGTGAAATGGTTTGTTTCCTCCTACATTTTTTTTTTGTCTTGCTTTAATTTATCGTTTGTCACTGAAGACGAAAGCCGATGGTTTTGTCTGTTTGTTTGTTTGTTTGTTTGTTTGTTTGCAGGATTGACAAAGGATCTCATGAACCCTCTGGACAGATTTGAATGAAACTCTCAAAAGTTAATTATTTGTTGTAGATCCAACAGATTAACTTTTGGAGTCAGCTCAGTCTGAGATGACCGCCACAGGCCAAAATCAAAATAGTTCTACAACAGCCAAGTTTGTAGATGTTGAGCTAGTTTTTGGTGTGGTGGTGGCTGAGAGTCATCCTTAACATATTCTCTGAGCACCATCACATTTCATGAGATCTCTCAATCTCTAAAGAGATCGTGCGTAACATCATTTACCGCGTTTGACCAAAATGTCTAGAACAGGAGTGTCCGAAGTGAGGCCCATGGGCCATTTGTGGTTGTTTGAGGAATTATTTTGGCCCACGAGCTTGAGAGGTTGAATAAAACTGAACAAAACAAATGTTTGAACAGCAAACTAACACAATTTTCAATCCAAGGATCTACGTCCGAGTCACAACCTGTCACTGTTTGTTCCTGAGAATGGACTAAAAGGTTCTTTCAAAGCACAAGAAAACAAAAACAAACAAACATGGACCCATCAAATCACAGGAAATGAATGCTTTTCTGTTGAACAATGTAAATAATTGGTGTCTTCAAGCCTTTAATTAAAGTAGGTTGTGTGTTTGTGTTTCTCCTCGTTGACCCGCTGGTTTTTCTGCCTCCACAGTACTTCGAGGTGCCCTTTGACTCCAACATGAACCGTACAAAGAACCGGCCGCTGGTCAGAGGACAGATCAGGTACAGTGTCCTTTTCTAATAACGGCACCCTTTGCAACAAATCACAAATGTGTAATTTGAGCAAATGTATGAGAGCATGCAACAGCTGAGCATAACCATAACACTTTAAATGTCATAACTTTGCGTTAATGCAACAATAAAGACTACATCTTAAATAAAATGGCAACTGGAGGTTATATTTATGCTTCAGTTTAATCATTTCTGCTTGTCCCTTTGTGTATGGAGGACAGAATGTGACAAAATGAAATAAAAAAATACATAATACAAACATAACAATTACTAAATGCATCATTAAATCATTAAATATACAACTGAATAATTAAATATACAATTAAATATACAATTCAATTATTTATTTCATGATTTATTTAATTTTGTCACCTTCCGTCCTCCAGCGGCATCATGAAATCATGTGAACTGTCAGCCTCACTCGTCAAACTCAGTGGGCGGGACTAACCCTAAACCTGACGCCTGATTGGCTGCTCCTCACAGCATGCGAAGACAAATCGACCGCAGATTAATCGGTTGATCCAAAGGCAAGAAAATATATTCTGAAACTTTAGGGAGCGGTAATTGTGTTTACATATATTTGGATGAAACCTTTTTTCATACCATGAACGTAAAGAAGACGCACTTTTACGAGATGACTGGATGAATGGATTTTACATGATCAGCGTTAGTCCCGCCCACTGAGTTTGACGAGTGCAACTGACAGTTAACATAATTTCATGGTGACACACGAGGGTGGAATGTGACAAAATTAAATACGTAAATAAATCATGAAATATATTATTTAATTGCGTATTTAATGATTTAATGGTGTATTTAATATTTAAATGATACATTTCATTATTAGGCATTTATTTATTTCATTTTGTCACATTCCATCCTCCATATTTGTGCAGCTGTCAATCTTTTTTTTTTTTTTTTATTGTTTTTATTGTGTTGACTTTTAAAGATAAAATACTTGGAGGGTCAAAAATGTGAAACGCCGCCACAGAGCAGCTTAACGTTAGTCACTTCATAGCTGAACAACCTGCTGGTCCATGACCTGAGTCAGTTTTCCCAGTTATAGGAATTCCTCAGTGACGTTTTGTTTAAAAGTGGACATTTGCGCCGTTCAGGCGGTTGATAAAAACATTTTGGCTGTGTAAACACCGCCTCGTCTCTCCGGCTTTTAAAACGAGCGTCTGAGTGTCTGTGAGGCTCGTTGACGGGCTCCGGCTCCTCTTTTTCTTGTTTCCCCGTGCCGTCGCTCGTTTCTGTCGCACATACAATCCTGTGTGAAGACACAGAGCGTATGGGAAGGTTGACGCTTCTGTCAAACAAACCATCAGTGGACCAGATTTTACACAAACCCTGTTGTCTCTTAATTGTGTTCCTTATCTTTGTCCGTCTGCGCGCTAAATGTGTCCAGGATACGTCGACGTTTAGAGTCTGTCGGCACAGAACGGTTGCTTTATGTAGCCTTTTTGTGCTTGTAGACGGTCGTTCTTCATTTGTTGTGCTTTTTGTCAAACTTGAGCTTTTAAACGCAACAAAAAAAACCTTTCTGCTCGACTGAAGAAGAAGAGAGTTCAGATGAGTCTCGGTTTGTTGCTAAAACCTGATGAAACACGAAAATCTGAACATTCAAACTTGAGAACGTCGTCTCGTACCGGTCAAACTAAACAAGTGAAGTAGATTTACTCTCTTGCTTTTTATAACGGAACAGTTTGTCATTACGTTTTCCTCTGAACAATGAGGTTTTGGTGCGTTGTCTCTCAGCTTTTAATTTTACAGCTGTAGTTTGGCTGCCTCAGTCAAGTTGTGGGAGAAAAGTTTTAAAAGTTGTGTTAGAAGTTAACAGTTAAAAATCAAAGATGCTGTTTTACAGTTAAAATCTGTGACCTGCTTGAATACAGGTTTGGCTAATCTTTATTTTTCCCCTTTAAATAGAGTTTACTGCAAATGTGAAGAGGTTGTAAAAATAAATTCTGTATATATTTTCTATATAAACCAGATTTTTCACGCTGTTAGCTTTTTATTTATTTATTTTACATGCTTGAATACACAAAAGTGCACCAGATAACAGCAAACACTTTTGTCTTCAGATGTTTAATTTGTAATGAATTAAAGTTGAGTCCAGCATTATATTTTTAGAGAGTAAAAACTGGTTTACTGTTAAATGCACTGGATTAAATAATGGTTTTCTGTGTGCAGGATATATTACAGCTTTATCACTTTTAAAAGAAAATGAAAATGTACACCTAAAGCCTTAATAACAATACAAACGGCTTTGATTGTAAAGACTTCCACAACAGACTTATTGTTAAAAAGAGTCACTTGAGCCCATATCTAACTGGACTGGAGGCAAGCAGCGTCCAAAAGAGTCTTCAAACAAGATTATACATTTTCTTCCACAAGTCAGAGGCTCGCAGTTCTGTCCGATTTATTGCAGTCGTCTCGAACTCATCTCAAGAGGCAGGAGCTGCACGGGAGCTCCTCCTGACAGAAATCATGTCCAGGTCTAACATCCTCTTCAATGATGTAATGATTATTGGGTAATCTGGTCCAAATGTGCTCATCTGCATTACAAAAGTGCCCTCCAGTAAATTGAATCATAGACGTACGAGCTGCCGCCGACGTGGGTTCAAAGTGAGGAACGTGCATGTTTACAAGCGGTGTGCACAGACATGGGCTGTGATTTAAAACAATTATAAAACTAGCTGTAAATTCAACTGTAATCGTTTGATTTTGAGTCACAAGCCGGTCTCCACAGAGGCAGACCAGCTGTAGGTATGGTGAGACTGGTGATCCCTGTTAATAATAATAATAATAATAATAATAATAATAATAATAGAGACTGATAGAAAACATTTGAAGAGTTCGTTTATTCAGGTCTGAAGTAAAGCTCTGATCTATAAACATTTTTTTACTGCTTACTATTAACTGAACAGTTTTTATCTGTTCTCTAAAAGTTAAAGACATCAAGTCGCCATAGAAGAGTTTTTTTTGTTTGTTTGTTTTATTGGATGTTTTGGATGGTACTGGGTTTTAAGTGATCCAGACCTCGACGTCACTGCTTTCCAGTTAAAGATGACGAGGAGGAACTCTTCATCCTGTTAAAAGCCGGAGCCGCTGTGTTTTCCTCAGCTAGTTTTGATCTCTGGCCTGTGCAGACGCTCGTCGGGCTACTTTTATCCCTGACACTCTTATCAGATGAGTTTTGAGGTTCAGCCATGCACGGCTGCTGGCTCCTGTGTGTGTGTGTGTGTGTGTGCTTGCTATCATTGTCTTATCTTGTGTTTGCACAAGCCTGTGACTCGTTATCATCCCTTAGTTTTCACGGTAGTGACGAGCTTTTCTCTGATCCTGAATCTCTAATTGAACTCATCTCTTCGGCTTTTGTCTAGTCTGTATTTATCTTTCTGCATTTAACCCTCGTTTCTCTTTTTCCTCCTTATCAGCCCCCTTCATGCTGTGTCATTCGCTCTGGCCTGTGGCATTCCTGGAGTGGCTCTGCTCACTCTGGCAGTGAACCCCCTGACGGGATTCCTAGGTGCGCTCAACATCTTTCTGTACACCTGTTGCTACACGCCGCTGAAGAGACTCAGCATCACCAACACCTGGGTGGGAGCTGTGGTCGGAGCGATACCCCCAGTGATGGGCTGGACCGCTGCCACGGGCTGCCTGGAGACAGGTAACAAATAAAAATAAAATACATGACAGTGTTCAGGAGCAGAACGTCACATTAATGCCCTTTTTATTGGTTTGTTACAGAAACATTCATGTTTTTTATGTAAAAATCAGACCTAGCATTCCTTAAAGGGTTTCAGATCACCTGCCACATTTAACGCAGGCGTTTTAAACGAAACTCATCTTATGATGAGTCGGGACAGAGGTATATCCACATTGGTCAAACCTTGTGTTTTGTGCAATTTCATGCTGCTATTAGCACTCGGTGTGTGTTGGAGACGAGTCTTAGCTACAACCACATGAACTGTTAGCTCAATATTTGAAAAATTAGCCAAGTGCGGCACACCTGAGGGAAAGAATGAGGCTTTGAGATGGATTGCACATGATCGATTAAGATCACCGTCTTGGATATTTGATTTGCAACCAGAGGCTATGAAAAATGACTAATAAAAATGCATATTACATCACCATGGTAACTCAAAATGCCAATAAAATAATACACATTAGGTCGCCGAGCTGGTCTTTTTAATATAACACTTGTGGGGGTGCACATTGCGATTCGGGACGCATTAAAGTTGACGGAAGAGTAAGATGTAAAGTTAAGAAACCCTTGTCAGGTGGATAATAATAGGTGCTGCCTTACTAGCCGGTCCCCAATAAGTTTCACTTTCTCCTGTTTAGTCTTAAAATATGACCATTTCCCCTCAACATCGTGACTTGATGACTTTTTTTATCCCAACATTTGAACCTTACTATTTAAATAAATAAAAATAACCTTCCTGATTTTTTTTCTACTGAGTGATAAAGTCAGGTTCAATGTAGACGATGGAAAAAAGACGAGTTCTTTTCGTTGCTGCGTTACTGAAAGATGAAAAGCAGCTCCTTCTTCTGATCCATACCATAATGAGTCAGAGAAGTCCTGCAGAGTCTGCAGCTTTTCCAGCCAGCATCATTAAACCCCTCCCTCCTCCGTCTCCCCCCTCCAGGTGCTTTGTTGCTGGGTGGTTTCCTCTACTGCTGGCAGTTCCCCCACTTCAACGCTCTCAGCTGGAACCTGAGGGAAGACTACTCCCGCGGCGGCTACCGCATGATGTCCGTCACGCACCCGGCCATGTGCAGGCGGGTGGCCCTGCGCCACAGCTTGGGTCTGATCGGCTTGTCGGCCTTGGCGCCCGCGCTCGACGTCACCACGTGGACCTTCCCCGTCGTCTCGTTACCCATCAACCTGTACATCAGCTACCTGGCGTTCCGCTTTTATCACAAAGCGGACCGCGGCAGCGCCCGCAGTCTCTTCTTCTGCAGCCTGTGGCACCTGCCCATGCTGCTGCTGCTGGTGCTCACCTGCAAGAAGCACAGCAGGAGTCAGGAGGCTCCGGCACCGTTAACCCTCACACCGCCTGCTAACTAGTGTCAACAGAGACTTTTTATTTGTAACTACAGGGATCCTTCAGGGTCTCGGCGTGCTCAGAGGAACGTTGGCTGAAGAGCTGCTTTACAGAAAACACACAAATTCATGAGTTCACGTCCATCTAGATGTGTGTAAATATTTATAAACGTCCCAGCAGTTTGTCCACCTGATGATTGTGCTGTTGAACTTCCTGTTAGGAGCCCCCATACACCAGGCTGACTACAACGTTACGATACCTTGAAGCTGAGTGTGTTTATTGAACCGCTTTTTGAAATGGCTGTAATTTTATTCCCTTCAGACTGTGAAGCTTAAATGGGTAAAAGCCTTCGATGTTTGAAACAATACTCGTTAGATTCCAATGTTTTCACCTAAAATATGAATCTCAAGGACTCATTGCAAACAACATAAAACGTAAAAATGTTTTCTTGAGCTATATCAAACGATGAAGTTTGGAAGAGTAGTTTTCTAAAAATACTGATCATGCGGTTTTGAAACGTGGGTACGCACTCGGTGTAAACAAAGCACTGAAAACCAGGCAAAAGCTTGAGTGACTTGGGCTCGCTGGAGTGTGTGCATGTAAAAAATATGGTGGATTTAGGTGGAAACTTGAGTAAATCTGTTGAACGTGAAAAGACCGAGCTCGACAGTCAAACGCGCAGCTTTAGCGAAACATTAGCTAGACCGATGAATTTAGTTTTGCCATTTTTAACTCAATCCGTACAGTTCACAGCCATTTTCAGTCTCTTCGGCTGTTTTCTGCAGGTAAACAAACACACTTTGGAGTTGGCGGCTGTTTAAAACGTTTCAATTCAAGGGCGCATTAAGAACTGCGAGTACCGTTGAAGTCGTTTGTGCGGAGTTTAACTGAAAGCCAAAGTCGCGATGCGTTCAAGTGCATTTATTCCCCCCAGGACGCTGGGGATGTGAGGAAATGAGGCAGACGGGGGAACTTCCTGTTTGGTGTATACGGATGAAACACACGAGCATCAGTACCTGCAGATTACCTCATGAAGACCTATAATCACAATCTGATTTTAGGTGGAAGAATGGGACAAATCTAATGTCAAACTGTTTTTGTTTGATGCCTGTTACTTGACGGTTAAAAAAAAAAAATCTTGCTTGTAAACAAACGCGCTTACGGGTTTAATTTTTGTCACTTTAAAGGGATCAGATGTTTCCCGTTGGACTCCAGGGCAAATGTTCTCAAACAATAAACACGTTTTGACCAAGTCTTCCTCCTGTGTCTTCATCTACGCTGACGGTGACTAAAACTAGATTTCGGTGCTTTCAGGCTCATTAGGTGGTGCGGGGTTAAGTGTGAACGGAACATCCAGATTTAAGTTTCAGTTTTATTCTCATTTAAAGCTCAAATCGGCTCCTCTGGTTCCAACAGGCCACCTCTACACCTGTCACCATGTGCCCCCCCCCCCCCCCCCGCCCTCTTATTTTATTTTCTTCCTAGTTTTGGTATTTGGTTACATTTCCATCACTGCATTCAGAGGGACAACCCCCCCCCCCCCCCCCCATAGCTGCCACCTTCTCTCCATAAAAACAAAAAAAAGGCTGCAGGATTTAGCCAAGGCCGAGAGACCCGAAACGGCTCGATGTCCTCATAAAGAGTGACCGGATGCAGAGGGTGAGAGGAGAGCGATCGAGCCAGCTGTTACAGTCGGATAAAGTGTGTGTGTGTGTGTGTGTGTGTGTGTGTGTGTGTGTGTGTGTGTGCATCTTAAGAGCTCAACGTGTTGAGTTTGTTGCATTAACTCACGTCGCTGACTCCAGAAGGTTCTGCTCTGTACAGTTTTGGCTTCTTTAGTATTTATTGAACTAAAAACAAAAGGTAAGATCAAGCTTTGTAAATTATTTTTACTTGGAATTAACTGCACATTTAAAAAAAAAAAAAAAGTGGGAGTATTGAAAGAAGTCTTGCACAAGAGTAAAAGTGTTGTTTTAACTGATCGGTTCGATTTGTAAAAACGGCTTAAAGGAAACTATTAGAGCGTGTTTATTAAAAGCTTGATTAGATGATTTTAAATTATTTTAAATGTAAATGTGTATTAAATGTTGTGAAGCTTTGACTGAGCAAATTAATTTTATAACGTTTGCTGTTAATTCAACCGTCAATATTAGCTCTTAAACTTTATTACAGCAGGAAAAAAAAGTCAAAACCAGACCAAAAAACACACCAAAAAAAACTTAAGGATGAACTTTGACCTCTCCTTTAAAGCTGGCTGTTCGATATCACCCGTCATTGGAAAATCAAAGCAGAGTTGGTGTGTTAGCAAAATATTTCACAAATTAATGAATTTTAGTGAGAGTGATCCTTGGATGAACCTCAGCTCAAACTTTCTGAAACAATCTGATTCAAGGTTGAGAACTAAGTGACCGTTAACCAAACAGGTTTAGTCAGTTTAACATATAGTTAAACTATTACAAGGGAGTAGCTGAGAGTCATTAACAGCACATACTCTGACCGTAACAAATTGCAATGAGGCTGTGCATTATTTACAAAGTTTGACCTCCAGCTTTCACGTCCCATCAAATGATTTTAGTCTAAAACTTTGGTTTGAAAGGCAGCGGGTGATAGGCATTATTTCAAGGTGCGGTACGCCTTTAATTCTAAAAGCTTTAATATTTAGAGTAAATCTGAACAAAGTGATCAGTAGAACTGAGTTAAAGTAATTAAAATGACTTTATTCCAGAAGAGTGTTGCAACAAAATAAACTATATTTTTATATATATATGTAATTTTTTACTAGATGTTTCAGCAATTTGAGGAATTATTTGCACATTTATGTTTATGCGTTCATGCATACACAAAAGTTTAAAGTCCTTCTGAAGTTACAGATTGATTCAGAATACTTATATATAAATAAAAAAAAACACCCATAATTATAATGTAATGCGTTTTTACATAGGAGCTTTTATTTTGAAGTTTTTCCAGTTTTTTTTTTTTTTTTTTTTTGAAGTTTCTAGAGAAATAATGCATCTTGAGACGAGTTAATGGCTTTTATTTATTTTAATTAAACGGGAACTTTCCATACGTTGGTAAATCTTTATTAAATTTAACTCTGTCAATATTTGGTTCCTTGTTTAATTAAAAGCCTTCACATTAAAACATCTGCATGGAACACATTCACGGGATAAAAACCAATAAAATAAAGTCGATTGATTTGTATCAGCAAGCTGGTTAAAAAAAAGGGAATCTTTTAAGACACGGCAGGTAATTAAAACTTAATTATGCTGCAATAATAATAATAATAAAAACAACAATAAAACGTTTAGTTTTATTTCAGCAAATCAATAAAACGCCTTTATTTTCAAAAGCTTATATTACCACTGCATCATTCAAATTATTTTTATTGCTCAGCAATTTTCATAATTACTTAATTGTAAATTTATCCTGAAAAGTAAATTTTTAGCGTCTAAAAACTTATTTTGCTGTTTTATTTTGTTCGCTCGATAAGCAAAAGTTAATAAAAGCTGACAAACCTGTTCAAAGTCGTCAAAATAAAGTCGGCCGACACGTTTCGAGTCGTCTGAACTCTTCTGAGCCAAACGCCCGCGGGGGAAGACGAGAAAACCTGAATTTAATTAACAAATAAAGTTTTCCCAACTTTCCTGCACAGTCCCGACATTCAAACACTCACACGCGCATCGTTTTCTCTCCCACGCTTGGTTCCGCCTCCTCCTGCCTCTGATTGGCTCTTCTCTGTCAACAAACAAACGTCCTGCGCTGCTATTGGCTGCTGCTCCTCAGACCCTGCTGTATAAAAGCAGCGGCTCGCGCGGCGGTAGCGTCAAACTTGAGATGAGGCTGTTCGCTGTCACTGGCGGGTTTTTGACGTTAGCTACAATTATGACAGAAAAAAACCGCCTCATTCCTGGATGTTTCCATCTGTTCGACGTCCTCCTGAATAGTTTGTGTTAGCTTTTCTTCTAGAGCTTCGTTCAAGTTGAACATGCGCCTAATTTTGCGCGGATTCTTGTGAGTTTCGTTCACCTTTTCGGCAGAAATGCGCCGCCGGGATTCCACGGTTGTCACTCGGAAGGCTTATGGAATATAGCCCGGTCCGCCTTGGTCCGCATGCCTTCTGGTCCGGCCCCGCGAGGAAGAAGCTCGTCCTGCTCAGCATCATGTTCTTAGTCTGGGTCTACATGTTGTACTCCTGCGTGGGCTACTGCTCCACGGCGCCGCCGGTGGAGGCTCGGGCCGCGGGGCGGGACGGCTCGGACCTGGTGTCCAGGCTGCTGTCCAAGCCGCAGCCGTGGGAGGACGTGGAGGGGGACTACGAGGAGCCTTCGTCCGTGAGCAGGACCAGAGACCTGCTCACTAACGAGCCGGACTGGGACCAGAGAGCCCCGGAGCCCGGGACCATGTCCAGCTTCTCCAACGGCTCCGGGAGCAAGAAGCTGCCGCAGGCCATCATCATCGGGGTGAAGAAGGGAGGAACCCGGGCTCTGCTGGAGTTCCTGCGGGTCCACCCGGACATCAGGGCCGTGGGAGCAGAACCGCACTTCTTCGACCGCAACTATGAAAACGGTCTGGACTGGTACAGGTAAATATTAAAACAATAATAATTTAAATATTCACTTTTCTTTCATCTGCAAGCATCAAACACAAACGGGAGAAACTTGTGATTTTGACACAAAAGCTCCACTTTTTCCATCTTTTATTCTGATTATTTTTAATTAATTTTACACACGAAGGTGGTTTAATTCAGCAAATTAACAATTCCTTCCTTTTAAAATGTGCTTTATTTTAATAAAATCAGCAGTTTATTAATGATCCTGCAGCTCATTGTTCCCTTTATTTACCCACACAGATTAGTCCTCTTTAATTAACTCCTCATTCTGAGACTTTGTTTGCACACTGGTTTGATTGTGCATGTAATTTATGTGAAAAGAAGAGTTTGGATTATTTATTTTTTTTGTGATGTGCAGTGATCTCTGTTGGACGCAGAGCATCACTGCACCTTCATCCTGATCAGCCTTTCACAGATAAAACACTTTAATTTACAGATTTTGCTCCGAGTTTTACCACAATAAACACAATTTAGGAAGATTAAGGGTTTAAATCAGTCAATCCGTGCAACTTCTGCTAATCTAATCTCTTCCATTTCCTATAAACGCAATTCATGCATTTGGTTTCAATCTAATTTCTTCAAATCTCAGACAGGTCTCTGTTGAAAGTGAGTCGTGACTCAATGAGTACCTGTATAAATTATATGTTGGCTCTATAGAAGATTTAGACAACGGGGGAGTTTCTGCTCAACAAAACCGTTGGATAAATTCACTTTATCTCGCTCATTTTATTACAAAATGTTCATATGAGCTTAATCACAGAACATGGTCAAAACTCAGTTTTCATTAAAAAGAAGTGGCATTTTATTTTTTTGCTTTACGCTTCATAACTTGGTTTTACAACACAATCAAGATGAAATTAAAGCTTTTAATGACTCATAAAGTGCTGAAAATAAAGCTTTCCAATCTATTTATATTTGACTTTTTTTTAAGTTTCCTTCTTTGCACCCCTTAAAGTATTTATTTTTTTGCTTCTGAGCACTATGTTGAGTTTTAAAAGATTACACAAACTTAAAACTGCTGCATTTTTTTCTTTTATTAATTTCACTTCACCCAATTTAAACCATTTATTCTAGATGGAAACGCACAACATGGAGTTCATCCGAGGAAAATGGCCGACTTTAAACGGAGCGTTTCTCACCCCTGCTGTGATGCAAACTCTGATTTACTGGGTTGAGTTTGAAGGCAGAGATTGTCTTGAGGGGCGAGCGTTAAAAAAAAAAAAAAAAAAAAAACGTCTGCAGGTTTTCAGGCCGTGAAATTGAATACTTTCTAAATCACGCGCAGACTGAGGTTTCATGATAGAATGGGAGCAGTTGCACGCACGTTTATGGTTTATTTAAACTTTTTTGCAGCTTCGAAACAACATTTTGGGAACAAATGCTCAGTTTGGTTAAACTGCACTTGCGTAAAATAGAAATCTGGAGTAGAAAGTTTTATTCTTTTTATCAATAAGATTCACTTTAGTGTTTTTTCCCCTTGAAGTTGCACCTTATTTGTTGCTGAGCCTCCTCTAACGGTCTCGTTAGCACCAGGTGTTTTGGGGAGAGCCTTGAAATGTTCAAAATTGAAGCGGAAATTAGCGTGGAGTTGAACTGCAAACTGATCATTTATGGAGACTGGAGCAACTCGTGTCGTCTTGTTTGTTCACTTGCACAGTCGCCCAGCTGTCCACCATCATTGCCTTACACACACACACACACACACACTGAAGGCTGGAATGCCACCAAGTATAAAAAGGAGTGGAAGCGGCAGCAGAAGAAGGTCTGGAGTGAAAAGAGGAGGAGAAAACACGTCTCATTGTGGATTTCTGATGTTCCCTGACAGTTTTTATTTGTGCCGAACACAAACACATGATTCATGCGTTTGACCGAGGGCTCTTTATACCAGGAGGTGCACATTTTCACAGTGAGGTCATGCATGAACTGGCCTGAGAGAAGACACACACACACACACACACACACCCACTTCTGCAGGGCGAGTCGCTGTGACTGAATGTGAACGGGAACCTCTGTTCATTATTGTCTGTTTTGCACCTGTTCCATATTAAAATCACGCAAAAATACATTAAAAAGAGAATTAACTTTCACAATAAAAGCTCAGGATGTGTTTCACATTAAAATATGTCTGGAATGGAAGATAAAAACTCTGGTAAATAAAAACGACGAGATGAATTCAAGAAACGAATGAAGGACGAGCATTTCTGAAAGGAATGCATATCGCCCGCCAGCGCCAGAGCATGACTCTCAGCTACCACCACACCAAACGTTCTATCGATATCTGCAAGATTACCGTAGATCGAGCCAACTTTGTTCAATAGCTGTGGCAGCCATCTTGAATGGTTGATTTACAGACTGTATTTATTTTCTAAAAGTTTCATTGAAGTCCGTTCAGTGGCTCATGAGATATTTTGCTAACAGACGTCCAGCAGTTAACAGCAAGATTTTAATGAAATATTTGTTAGGGGTGCACCGATTTATCGGCCCCGATTTCCTTAATTTTGGAAAATGGGAAATCGTCCGATACGTACATGAGAAACTGATTTTTTTAGTTTTAACAATTGTCTGAACTTCATTTATATTTCGGAGCATTACCTCATGGCCAGTTAAAACAAGTTTGTGTTGTTTCTAGTAATATTGGTTCAAGAGTATGTTGTTCAATAAAATAAGATGGAAAATTTAAGGTGCGTTGTGACTTTATACTCCGACGGTGTCGCTTATAAAACAAAATCGGAATCGGCAGCTCAGACTTTTTAGAAATCGGCGATCGGCCAGAAAACTGCAATCAGTGACCCTAGTGTGTTTCCCAAGGTCCGTTAGCCATGGTGGCCATTTTGAATATTCCCACAGATACTGCTTGTAAAGTTTCATTCATTTCCTGAGAGTTTCATTAAAGTCTGTCCAATGCTTCAGGAGTTATTTTGCTAACAGACAAATTTGACTCCAAAAAGTCAAAAGCAAAATTTTAAATGAATGTATTGTTCAACATGTTCACACTCAGAATGTGTTGGGGGTCACTCTCAAGCACGACCACACCAAACTCCAGCTCCGTTACAACCCCTTTTGTGTTTGCTAAAGTTGCTTAGCTTTGGTGGCCATTTTGAATGGGATTAGTTGAAACTAAAACTTTCTACAAGTTTAAGTAACTGGGTGGTGGTTTTGTGGCCTTTTTTAATTATGACTTTTTTTTTTTACTTGCATTGATTTAATTGAAAGGAGCTCACTCACTTTATAAATAAATGTGTCACTTTGAATAATGTCCCCAAACACAAGGATTATATTTCTTAACTCCCGTTGACTGCAGCCTTCATCCGTCACTCTCTGGTGCGTGTTTCTCTTCATCCTCGTATCTGTCTTGGCTCTGAAGGGGCTTTGATGCATAATTACTGTATTGTGGTTTTGTGTTGTGTCGCGGGCTCTGGTCTTTGCTCGTTGTCAGGCGGGGGCCGAGTCGGGCCAGGCAGCGCTGACACTGTCGCTCCTCCCGACAAGCAGCTGTGAAACAAGAAGCGGCGCTCGTGTTGGGGAGGGGGTTCAAGCAGCCTATGAAGAAGAGTGGGATTTGATTAATCTGGCGTGGTCTTCTGTTTGTGCTGTCAACTGATTAACTCTTGAAGTCAGACCAATACAAGATGGCCGCCACACCCAACTGATGTTTGAAAATGTAAAAACGACTTTAGTCAGTTTTACCGATGTTGGGATAAAATTGGATGTGGTTGTAGCCGAGTCATTCACAGCATATGCTCTGTTACTCATTGTGTTTGATCTATGCCTTAATGTTTATTGTTGACCCTTTGTGTGTTAGCAAAATATCTCATGGACAACTAAAAAGATTTTAACGAACCTTTCAGAACGTGATCAAGTGTCCGACAAATGATACATTTTAGTCAACCTAATTCATAACAACCACCACAGCTAGTCGAAATTGCCTTTTTTTTTTTTTTACAGATATTAAGCTGAGATTTGGTGTGGTGGTAGCTGAGAGTCGTCCCCAATAAATATTCTGAGCATGACATCTCACAATGCTGCACAAGATTACTCGTAACAAATATTTTCAAGGCTGGATACAGCTCCATCATTTCGCAACACAAGATCTTAAACAGCTGGCACGAAAGGCTGCGTGCGATATGCATTCCTTCAAGGACTCGTGAAATAATTAATTCAGCCTTTATTTATACAGGTTGGTCTCGTTGAGTCACGAGGACTCGTTTAGCATTCAGCATCCAACATCTGTAAGGTGCTCGCAGGAGCATTTGTGTAAATGATATCGCCATAGTCAATAGACGGAAGGAAAGTCAGAGTTAGACGGGATCTATTTCTGCAAAAGAAACCCAGTTTTAATTTCAGTTTCTTTACCAAGTTTTCAGCATGAGGTTTAAGAGAGATTTGCATCAACCAATATTCCTACATATTTTTTAAGAATCGACAAACTCAATAGGAACACCATCCGTAGATAAGATGGAAGAAAGGACTGCTGGTACCAACTTCCTGTTTTGAAAACGACATCCCTTTTGGTTTTATCAGCGTTTACCACCAGTTTGAGACGGAACAAATCTGACTGGATGGTGTCGAATGCAGACTGTAAAAGCTGGAAAACCTTAGCAACTGTTGTAGCTCGACAATAAACAACTGTGTCATCAGCATAGAAAGGTGAGGATGCATCAGGAATGGTCTGACCTACATTATGTAGATTGTGAAGAGGGTGGGTCCTAAGACTGAGCCTTGTGGTGCACCATTGTTGCCAGTTAAATGGCTGGAAGAAGTACTGTTATGTTACAATCAGAGAGGTGGTTGGAAAACCAACAGATAATATGGTCTGAGAAACCAATGCCTGAGAGCTTATGATATAAGATGTCATGGTCCACGGTGTCAAAAGCTTTAGACAGGTTTAAGTAAAGTGCATAATTATATGGCTTTGGTTTGATTCATATCGAAGGCTCAGGCTTCAGTTATTGTCAGGAGACCAGTGGGTTGAA